AAAAACGTATTTTTTTCATATTTAAACATTCCCTGCGTGCTACTAAAAAAGAAAAAAAGTTGTTTAATACATTAAGATATCCGATTAATATTATCACTTGAATGTCTAGAGTAAAAATATGAGAATACTGAAAATGTAAACAACACTATATATCTTTCCGTTGTATTTTCTGACACAAACCAAACAAAAATTAACATTTCGTGACAATTAACACTAATACATGATAACATCGTTGTCAGAATTGGGGTATATGTGACAGCAACAATCGTGTGGGGTCCAAATGTTATAACCAGTTATTGATTACGGAGTCGGTAACCAACAAAATCGTGTAGAGACAATCTAGTAATAAAAAAAAATGTTTTTTTTAGAGAATAAAAATATATCAGTCGAAAATTCCTGATATCGAATTTAAAGTCGATAAAAATGACAGCATTGCAGGCAAACTCGCAATATTGCTTTAGGCGTGCGCAAAATGGCGTGTTCGACTGCAATGCTGCGTCATTAAAATTGATTTCAATGGATATAAATTTACATTCTATCTGTTCAACGCATATCGATATTTCAGTTACTCCAGCTCGTCTCACAAAGTTGATTAGATATCGGACCCTGACCTGTGTGCTTTTTAGGGCTGGTTATCTAGGAGGGGTAACCTTCTAATCAGTTGTACCTAGTGAGGTAACACACCAAACTATCGCATAGAGGACATCACATCATCGGGTTACCAATAAGTGTTTTAAGAGATAAGATGACAGGATTTGACCAAAACTTAATTAGCCATATCCTGATCTGACCTAAAATAGTACAATGCTCGAGTAAACAACTTAATAGAAACAGTGTATAAATAACGAGGAACAGGTCCTTACAACGCCAAGCAGGTCAGCTAAACTTAACCTTAAAGCTGTAAAGGAATCTATTAGCCTGTTTGAGAAAGGGTGTATTGATAGAGATAAATAAACTAAATCACAAGAAAAGGATACTTTTAATGTACGGCAATCTACGGTGGTACATTTAGGACATGTACAATACTATTTTTATATTAATATATTGAGCGCTGGACATGTTATTTCGAGCACTCGACTTATTATTTCTAGCGTTCGACCTGTTATTTCGAGCGCTCGACTTATTGTCGCGATCTCACAACACGATTTTTGAGAACTCGATGTGCTATACCCAGCGTTTCACTTATTATTTATCATTGTATACTAACAGTTAAACCAGTGTTATGTAATACTGGGTATGCAAGATATCTAATTATATTCTGTTTTACAGCATCAGGGGAAATACCTCAATGCCGGAATTAAGTTCTTTTTGTTATAAGTTTGTATATGTTTTAAAATGATGAACCAGATTGAGGCTAAATAAAATGGCGCCGTCTGTTCTTTGAAGGTTAAATCTTACGTTTTTTTTTTCTGAAACAAAGATATACTTTTACATCCAAAGTACATTATACCAGAAAGCGTACATTTCAAATACATTAAGCGATACCCTTGTTGTTCATCTGAAGAAAGATGCTATATATAGTATCATTTCGACAAAGCTTCGATTAACAAATAATGATATAGTAAATTCAAATTGTGAGCGCTCAAGATGTAAACCCAAACATTCGATATAACAAATGTAGCGCTAGATATAACATGTCGACCGTCGCGAGCGCGAAGTAACATGCTGAGCGCTCAATATGATAAATATAAATGAATGGCCTAAATGTACCACTGTGCATTTAGCCACCATAATATTGTTTGTGAATGAGTTCATGCCAAATGAATTGTGAATACCAAAATATCAACAGATAGATCTGATAGTGTTCAATAGTCTGATATTTTTATTCTTTGATATAAGAAAGAATATAAATAGTTGTAGGCAAATTAATGGCAAAACAGTAAACATTTTCCTCTATAGAACTGTCTAAAGGTATAAAAATGGAGGTATGGAAACCGAAAGTTTGAATAAACAAAAGTTAAAGCATTATTTCCATGTTTGATTTACTAGTTTTAATAGGTTTTCAATGCTCAATGCAAATTTGAAAGCCTGTTTCACAATTTTAATACTGCTATTTTTTAAATAAAGGTAACTACAATTGTCAACCGTGTCGTTGGACGTTGGGCTTTTGAGCGACAGGAGCTGAGAAGGATAAAATAGTCAGAAGAATTGTTTAGCACGGAGACAATCATCACATCTGAGTTCTCTGTTGTATTATAGGTGTTGCTGGTATAAATTGCATTCGACTCTACAAATTATTAAATGGAACACACCAACAATTACATTTCTGTGATTACCATCCCTAGTTCCGCTTAGAGAGGTGATATAATAAGTATATACATGTTCTTTGGCAACTATCACGATTTGCTATCATGAAGACTAATTTTGTGTAATAGAGTTTATTTGTGAAATGTGTCATTCATTGGGAGAGGCTTTGACTTGGACAGAACTGATAGGAAAAAAAATTATCGCAATATTGCATTATGTTTGCTCATTTATCGTCACAATTGCTAATTGTTATCATTTTTAAAAAATAATAACACAGAAACCTCACCACATAATCTACATGATTTTAAAGACGGCTGAAATGATAAGAAAATGTTACTTGACACACCCATTGCACCAGAAGAATACACCGTTTGTATACTTAGATGTTTTACTGGTTTAATTCAGACACGTATACCAAGTTAAAAAGGGGTAATTTTAATGGAGCATTAAGTAACAATTTTTTAAACATATGAAATCTCATTTCAAAAATAATCTTTTACTGATATTGAATATTCAACCCCTCCACCTTTTTTTTTTTGTTTTTTGTTTTTTGGTTTTTTTTTTTTTTTTTTTTGTTTTTTTTTTTTTGTTTTGTTTGTTAAACTTATGTCTAGGTGAAAGACCAGCTATATTTGTTTAAAAAAATCTTGCATTTACATTGGAATGGATTAACTCTCTAACAGAAGTGTGACAAAAACATATCAATATATTTTCTCTAAGCTACGAGTACTGAAAACATCAAATTATGAAAAGATGAAAAAAATTGATCAAAGGATGTTACGCTTATTTGTGATTATTGCGTTCATCACACCGTTAATAATCGATAAATAACAAATACCTCTTACAAAAGCCTCGCGCAAACAGGAACATCAGTCAACACACGTCATGGCCATATGGAACGGAAGACATTAATGATTATCAAACATATGTCAAGTTTTTTACTAATCCTAGGAGCATTACCTGCATATACATTAAATATATTTTATTGTATAGATGAGAAAAAACACTTTAAGCTCTCATCTCTTTGATAAATGACAAGGTTATGACATACGTCACCGTTTTCCTGGACGAATCTCGTCATTGGAAACAACTTGTAATGTAATGGTTCATGTCTCACTATCGTTAAATGTAAGGTATAGCTGGGCTTCCTAGGTAATCACAGATTACGCGCAGTATGGTACAGATTTTTGTAATCTTTGCCTTAAAGTAGAGATAACCTGATCAGTATTACAAGGTGCTCGTGTTGGATTTCGTCTTGATTTGTCATGGTAAGGTAGGTACTGTAAAATAGTGGTCCACTGCTGTGTAAGCAAATTATCTAAAGAGTTGGCAATCTAAGACTTATGCAAAGGTCACGATATCCCACCCCAACGGCCGTTTGTGTAGATGTTTTCGGCTTATAAAAGTGTTGGCAAGGTGATGGGTAGATTAGGTTTATGGCAGTCTAACATTCCGTGTACTGAAACCTCCCGAGCCAACACCAATTACACAATCTCTCTCCCCAAGATATCAACCATTTAATTCTTTGTATATCACACTCTGAATGAACTTCTAAAAACTATCATACATTTTATATATTAGAATATAAACATAATTCAAAGTAAAGAAACAGTACATATCAGTTAATTCAGCCGTTAATGGGTTTTAAGGGTTCAATCGGATATGGTCATGATTTCCTCAAAATCTATATTCACCTACACCTTCGCCTCCCCTCCCTTGATCTCCCTCTGTTAAAAACATATACCATGGAATGTGCAATTAAAAAACAATAAGAGCGCGATCATTTGAGGTTGATAGGGCTAATATCAACCACAAAATATTGACTTGAAAACAAACCGAAGTTTAAAAGCATTGAAATAAGATAATATCGTGATAAATTGTGGATTTCGGGACACTCAGTGTCAGTCAAAATATTTTCCTGTGCTCACAATAAAAGCGAGGTTCATATGTAGCAAAACTGAAATCGCTAGATGAACTGACGACAAAGAAACATGGAAACCTAAATGACACCTTTTACATGAAAATCAAACAAGGAGTCTACGACCAGCTGTTCCAGACAGGCAAGCGTCTTCTGCTTCATTGTAAACATTGGTTAATGAAATAAATGTCACTTCCATAATGACAATGAATGCGACATTACATTTTCCTATGTTTTTCATCAATTTGCATCTTTCCAATCACGATGAAGTAAGATTATTTGCCAACAGTCGACATATATCACGGAAATCATAATATTGGGAACCAGCCCTTGAATATAAAATCAACTTCGACATGTAAATACGAAGAAATGTTTTTACTAGAAATGGAAAATTCAAAATTAGGAAAAGGATTGCCCAGGTTTGTTTCGTTGTAAGAAAATATCGTGGTAAGAGGCTTATGGAGATGTTCGGGCTTTTCAAATGTGGTATATTGATATAATGAATATATTTTTTCTTTAATGATAAGATATCGCCAGTCTAACCTTTGATTTTCGTGACCTGTTTTTATAAGCTCCAATATAAGAGTGGAGCATATTGGAACTAGCCACCGATGATACTAAAGATACTTTTGGATACTGAACTTAATATCCTTCATCGATAAAGCAAATGGGATGAAAAAGGTTGTATTAACGACACACATGTGGCTATCTCCTTTTTAGTACAAATTTGTAATAGATCCAATCTACGTAAGTAATCCAACTTGTAGACTAAAGAGGTTCAAAATTGATGAAAAACGGTGATCAAATAGGATTACTTATATTGTTCTTTTTTCAGGCGTTTTGTTTCGGCTACAGCAACAGTGCGTGTAATCCAATTATATACGCTTGGCGTTTCCCAGAGTTCCGAGTTGGTTACCAGCATATTCTCCGCAGTCGTAGAAGGAGAAGCTCCGCGGCAATCAGCTTGTCACAGTCAGGTGAGAAAAAGATATGATGCAACATCTCATCGTTAGTTTGTTTGGTTTTTTGAGTCTATGGTTACCATCAGTGTTAACATCACTTCTCGACTTATGAGGCAACGGAGGCCGTATATGCAATAGGCCGATACACAAATACACATACACAAATACACAAATTTATTTTGAAAGCAAGCAAAATGTGACGGCAAAAGTGTAAATCACAGGGAGTAAAAAGAAAGCAGTATATTCGCAAGCCGTTTATGCAACTAAACCGCCTTGGCAATCGATTGAGTTTAATTTTCATTTCTCGCAAAAATAATAGTAACAAAATAAAACAGACTGTTGATTATTTGATATCAGTTTCTTGTAACATTACATTAAATGTTGTTTGTTTTTATCTTCAATCATGTAATTTTAAAAAATGTTATCAGAAACAATTTCGCGTAAAATACAGGATATTGCAGGCTAACCCTAACCCTAATTTTATCATATAGTTACCATCTTATCAATGTGATAACACAAAACACATATCCTTAGTTTAAACACACACGGAATATGACCAAGCCGAGTTATGACTGGCTGAAGGTTCTCACTGATTACGCTTTGGCGTCAAACTTTATGGCGTAATAATCATGCGTTCTGATGTAACGAACGAAAGACATATAGAATGAAAGTGTTGCCAATCTAGATTTAAATCATGTTAGTACATGTATGTATGTAATAAACAGAACCAGACATATGTTTTAATTTCACATGATATTTATGAAACTCGTGACGATTTTCGATACAATGGAAATTTCTTAAACATGTTTCATAACTTTCATATCAATATGATATCTTGTTATAAGATCCTCTACACTTCAAACTGTATATTACATGCACACTCCTCGCTCCTTTTACTGTTAGTGTTTGGTAGTTCACTCAGATTGTGTCTCTTACTTCAGAATATGGAACCTGAAATAAATATTGTTTTGCTGACGACAGTTTGTAAAACGAGTTGAAATATCGATTGATTGATAGATCTACAGGTATAACGTTATCACATTTTATCTAATAACATAAAATCAGCACACGCATTTTGCATTATACCATTTATTCCATCCCGAGTTGTCTCCCTTTGTTGTAACTGATTTTTAAATACTTGTCTTTGCAGTTATCCGACCAAGTTCATAGACTGAGAGAAGAAGAAAGTTCAACTCCGTACTTACTTCAGGAAGAAACATTTGTATTCAAGAGATATTAATATAATATTCAAATGTAGTTAATCTGACTATAAGTACAAAATATATTAGATGGGGTCCATATATTCAGAGTGCACATAAACTGCCAAAGTCTTGCTTAAACAATCAGGTATGTTATTTAATGTCCATGTGTGTTATATTGTGCCATAGGATACAACTTGTAGATCAGCTGTGTCTTGGGTCCTTGCTTTCTGTCAGTACGTAAACGCTAAGTGACGTCACAACAATGGCCGACAAAATATATCCTCTTTCTCCCCAGAATAAAGCTCTAAAGAACAGTTAAAAGGGTATAATAGGGATATAGCTATATTGTAGATCTTAATATCACGGTCATGATTCTGCGTTTGAAGCATGGAATCTATTTTTATCAAGTTAAATTTGTAATTTAAGATGAAATGATAATACAAATAACGACAAAATAATCTTTTGTATTTCATACAATCTTTTTTTATCTTATTTTTTAGACATTATCTAATATCCAGACAATGCTTATGAAAGAGAACTTGCTAGAGAAAGCGATGGACCACATATTGTGTAGCAATTCTGGTGGAGAGCCAAATATTTAACTGTTTTGTCTCCTGCTGTTGATAGATAATTATAACGAGTTATAAATTCTGTCCTTCCTAGATCGTGTTTGTACGCTAACAAGCTTGCTATGTTTCAGTATGCACAAGATTTCTCAACCCAACTTGCCAATTCCGCGGCCAGGCTTAATGTGCTTTGCCAATAGATAAGTTAATTAATATTTTCTTGTCAACAACTAATAACAATGTTTCATGAGGTTTTAATGAACTCCCTGAATATAATTTGCACGAAGTTCGAAATAAGTACTCGACCTAGGCCTACGTTGGATTTAGATTACAAACGTCAGCAAAACAATTTCTAAAATCTTTTTTTTTTCAATCGTAAAAATAAATCCACTTCTGAGAACTTCGATGTTTTCCATTATCCAGGGATCTTGCTAGCAGAATAGTTTCACCCAAGGTGTACATTGGGAGGTTTCTAGTTAATTACATGTTTGTGTTACACGATCAGCCGGTTCCTGTTAATATGTCAGTGTCGAGTTAATTGTACATCAGTTCGTTGTAAACTGTTTCATGGCAATTTGTTTGATGTAAGGTTTGTGTAAATTTATTCAATTAATTTGTATCATTCAAATTGAATTGATTGACTGCAATCCGTTTTGTGTAAATATTAATCAACGGAAATTTGTATTAACTTCTTTTGATTTTGGCTTCAAGCTATCCACGTAAATAAAAGTCGATGTATTGTGTAATTCCTCTCACTTTGATCATTGTCATGTTGTGAATACATAACAGAACTGTGTTACATAGTATCATGCTTCTTAAAAGTCTAGGATTTTTTTTAACGTGACCTAATGTTCTATAAAAAATTAGTTATATAAATGATATGTATTCGTGCTTTATGCAATTGATATAACAAACAATATATGTTTACAAATAAGGTGTGATCTAGATACAATTTGTAGTCCATAGTAACAGATTCATTGACTGCCTGGTGTTAAGTCTTTATCGTATTTGTCTGAATCAAAGAAATTTTTGTGTTCATAAGAATTGTGTTTGAAAGATATAATGGAATATCTCCTGTTCTTGGTTTTTGGACGTTTATTTCGAACATTTTGGGTTTTTCTCAATTCTTTTTGTTTTTTAGGATTTCAAAAATCCAGGCCGTTTGAATGGTAGGAGTCCTAGGAGGACAAAACAGATGTATCATGTAGTTTAATCTATTATGTGGCTCTTGTGTATCTCATTACAAATTTGTCGTGAGAGGTATCATTCATTTGTGTGTCTTTTGTACATTATTGAAATGGCAACATACTATATATAACAAGATATTCGACTTCTGATCAATGAATGTTTCCTAATATCCCAAACTATGCTGTATTTATCATATATTTCTATATGTCAGAGTGGTGAAGATACGGATTATATATATACAAAAATCATTGCGCGGTAAAAGAAATAAATATTGGAAAAATGTGTTCCCTCTAAAGAGCATATATTTATCAAAAGTTAATTATTATAAGAATTATAATTGTTGAATAGCCAATGTCTGTTTTTCTCTCGATTACGATGTGATCGAAAGCATTTATCGTCTTTTTTGTGTCACATATTCTAATTTTTATGATAGTTAGCAATATTTAAAATCAATGAGATCTTATATTTCGTCATGGAGCTGTGTATTGGATATAATTTCTTGTAACGATTCTAGCTTCTGATTGGCTATAAAAGTTGTTTAGTGATTTCGAATAAGAAGTGTGCGTCACAAAAGACAAAATGTGTGTGTTATGTTAACTACATGTAGATTAAATAATCATTTCAAAGTGAAGTTGGTCTCGAGTTAACAGATGTAGTATTGGTCATATGTACAAGTTGTTACATTATGCTTGTATTAATGCTCTGGAATTTGTGGTATCTCTATACATCCATGTTGTATGTTGAGCCCTGGTGTCTGAAAATTTTTTCATTGTGTGGGAGCTAATTCTCGCCTAGTTGGTTGGCTGGCACAGTGGCAACGTACTATCACCTTTATGGTCGGTGTTTGCGTCATGTACCGGCAATTAAAAAAAATGTGTGTGCCATCTGACCAATCAAGTGACTTTACAACAGGTAGGCCGAATTCCTCCCACATTAATGCTTCTCAATTTGTAATTTGTTCCTGTACATGATATATAGGGCTATTAAACCTCCAATCTAGGGTTTAGCTTCATTCAATTTCTGTGGATCTTCATCAGTTGCTTACAAAGTTTAAATATTTAGGCCCTTAGCATCACTGACGAGTCCTAGAAGGACGAAACAGCTGTATGATGCAGTTTACATGTAAATCATTATTTGACTCTTCTGTGAGTAACTATAAATTCATATTTAAATGTGTTTCTTTTGTATAATCTTCTTTAACTTTGTATAATGTAAGAAGGTATGAGTTTTGTGCTGAAGTGTAGTGCGTCCAGGTTTGTTATGAACTGTTGGAAAACCTTAACCACGTGTGGAAGCCGTAATATTTTATGTGCGGAATATTTCTGTTTTGTTCATTAAGAATGTGGTAAATTATTTTTTTACTTTAACTTTACGGCAACTACTGTAGATGCAAATTATATACAACTGTGTTTGTCAGAACGAATCTCTGCACATGAAAGATGATGTTGATTACTTAGTTGTATCAATCTTGGTATAATGAGATACAGATGTGTACTGCCAAACCTCAGTTGGTGTTTCATGTAAAAATCATTAGCGTATGTATATGAATATATATATGAACGCGTGATAGTGTTAAAACCTGCCTACTCATATTAATCACGAGTACATCAATTCCAATACACGTGGATGTCGACCACTAAATGATACAAGAGAAACAGTATACACATTTTTTTCAAAAAATGAATTAATTTATATGAAAAAATATTTTCGAAATTACATTTTCATATTGCTTTAAAATTACAAATATACATAAGTAGATAAGTGTCTAAATATTTCTGACGCATTCAATCACCAGGGACAGCACTCCTACTTTAGTGTATTTCCATAAGAAAGATAACATTTGGAACATTAATGTATATTCATATTAATTTCTGTATGAAGGATGGGTTCAAAATGTGAGAATCATCTGTATGGTGCAGTAAACATCAATTTGTTTGGCTCTAAGTTTCATTCTGTTTCAGCAATCTCAGTTGCTATGTTGGTACGGTGTTTGTTTGGTAGTTTAGCGATAGTGCTAATTGAAAATTATGATTATGGAGTATATAATTATTGATAAAAGTAAGGGTTTTTCCACTATAATCATCTTCAAGAAAGAAACATACAAGAAAACATACATAGGTAAACAAGTGGAATTAGTTTATAATTTTATTTTAACATATGACGGGGGCTAACAGACTGTTCACAAGACAAAAAAACGTTCACACATAGACAGGTATTTGATTTACTGCTGTTGTCTGAGGATATCAGCACTAAATACACGCCATTAATTACATCTAGGTGGCAAGATATAACGTTTACTTCCTGATACAATAATTCTCTAGAACAACATCCAGAAAGACAGATCAAACATCAACAAGGACTCAACTTTTGTTCACAAAGAAATTAGGAAAATACGCATATTGTATGATATCAAGTGTAAAAGGTAACGCATAGCTGTATGGCATTTTAAAAAAAAGCATGGAAAATGTTTTGAAGTATATAACAGTTTTCGTACATTACAAATCATCACGCAAATAGGATCCTTGGTTTAAAACATGTCACATTTCAAATCCTTGTTTCAATAGCAATCAGATTGAAGTCAACATTTCGCTTTCTAAAATTGACATTACATTAATCTGACTATCACCTTGTATACTTAATACACTTTACAAATTGTCTTTTTCATATCTTTATATTTATCTTTTGAAATACAAATTGATTTTAATTCTATCTTAAGATCAAATAAGAGACTTCAGTATTCTACAAGTAAAATACGTATAATTATTGAACTACAGAAGGAATGACCATTCTTGAAAGGAAAAGTCAATTATTCACCCTTTCTTCAATCCGATCCCCACGCTTCCCATAAATTTCGAGCAATTTATGGACGAATCTTGTTAAAAGATGTGAAGAAATGAAAGAAGTGCACACGAGGGATCTGGCAACTACACGGGAGATCATGTATTACTGTGGTATTGTTTTGTGGTAAATATATTATTATCTTGCCCCATTTAAGAACGAGTTAAAATAAAAAGCAAAAGCACGAGACCTTTATACATTCAACGAAAGGCACTCATTCTTTATAAGTAAGTTTTTCTCCGTTTACCGAAAATATATTCTCTTTATATTTCAAATGTTTTACAAAGTTCTTTAAATTTTTCTTTGGGTTTACAAGCAGAAAATGTTTTACGCTGGAAACGAAAGCGAAACAATCTTAATTATATAAAAATTTAACAATTAACAAACAATATACCAACGAAACCAAACTAATCGTTAAAATGAAATGACTTATTAACTTTGAACAAACACAATATCATTGAGGTCATCGTACACTCTAATGTAAGAAGCGATTTCAGGGAGACAACTCAGTCAAGAATCACAGAATATGGGATAAAAGTGTTATGTAAAATAAAAACAATGTGAGCATCTGTTTGTTGACATGAAGGGTGTGGCTGCCATTAAAAAGTCATTACAATGGGACAAATAATTAAAACAAACAGAAAATGCAACCTTTTCTGAATAAATATACATATTTGATAAATTGATTCGTGTCGTAAAACTGTGATTTATTGGTCAGAATATTATATATCGCCATTAAAAGTGTAAAACATTAATTATTAGATTTGATTGTCATTAATTATAACATAAACAACTGTCTGGAAATGCATGTTATCTAGAAAACGACCAAAAAAGGACAAAAAATGCTCCTTTTCATTTTAATTGTGAGAACCGTTCCATATCGATCATTTGAATTTTGCTTTGAGAAGATGACATGGAAGTGATGTTTATTTTTGAGATATGCACAAAGAGTTTTAACACAAATACCCATTTCCATTAGTCATGGAGTGGACTGTTGATCCTAATTCCTAACAGCGTAGCTATAGGGCATATTGAGGGAAGCTCGTACATGACAGGAAATCCGTACGTAAATATGTTCACAAAAGGGAGTTATCTTCCTTCCCGTGTACGTTACCCTTGTAAACTGAATGGGCCGATACCGGAAGTGTGGCCTTGAAATGCGGTTTAATGCATAGTACAAAATACATATCTTTACGGCACAAACATGCAGTTTTCATATTTTATCTGTAGTAAGCCAAATTATTGAAGAGAAAATTAATTCAAATGCAAAATTACAAAGCTAAACTCGACGGTAGTAACAGTAAAATACAATACCAATACAGCAATATCAACAATCGAGGAGTTATTTTCTAGTTTAAATATAAATATGAAATTTGGCAAAACCAAATATGTTAATTTTACAGATTTATTTGAATCGTTGAATGGTCTAGGCTATGATCCCCATTCCTTTGATCTGTTTCTTTCACCAAAAAAGATATATCTCTATTTTCAGTAATTCATCATGAGATGTTTTGATCTAAATTTTGCCGATTTCAAAGAAGTTTAATTTTCTAAAAAGAAACAAACAAACAAACAAAATTTGTACAGGATAGTTGTCATTACTACTACACCACAAGTTTATAAAGGAAAAGATATTTCCATCATCGTAAAACTTCCAACCAATGTCAGGAAAAACAATCAGGTTTATTTGGATCGGGGGAGAGAGCTGACAAAGGGCGACAACTTGAAGGGGACAGAACAGTTGAGACGTTTGAATAACTAGAACTTCGGCGAAACAATAGAGGACTAGCAGTCACTTCTTCAGCTGACGGAGTTTTTAGAAGTGGCACTGAGAATATGGCGTCTGAACTTCTGGAGTACTCTCTACTATATTTTACTTTCGGTGTGGCTTTTACATACGGCGTTGTATCACTTTTGCGTTTAACATGCCCCTTTGTCCACGGAAGAAGAGATAGTTTCTTCTTTTCTGCCGGAGACTTGGTCTCCGTATTATTGTTTAGCGAGTTATTTTCGTCTATTGTTTTCTCTGGTATTTTATTCATTTCGATATCAACATCTTGAGAAATATCGCTCACGCGACACTTCAAACCAGGGGAGATTTCTTTTCCCGGAATAGACTCACAGTCACTGTTATCTGATAAAGAATTACATGTGTTTGAACCTCCATTCGGATACAAAAACTGTACGTTTTTATTGTTCGATTGTCCATTCGGAAACAAAGGTCTATCTTCGGTAAGATTTCCATCCGAATCTCGTTCGTATAAAACTTCTAAAGCACTTTGCGGACTACTACACATCAGCCTAGAACCGTTAGAACCAGCAGTTGACGGACTCGATAAGAAAACCTCCTCGTTGTCCGACTTTCGTAGCTTGGTATCGAGTTTCATAGAGATAATTTTACCGTTTTTAACTAGTATCACCGAACCATCTCTGCGTATCACCGAGCTGCCAGACTTCGCTTTGGTTTTCCCCGTTAGCTTATGTAGAAGTTTGTAAGAAGAATCTGTCGATGTTTGTCGAACAATGTGATTTCCTCTTGTCGTATTAGGTCCCATCTCTTCGGATCTTGAGCCACGAACGGAGCTTATGAAAGTGGAAATTCGCCGCAGAGGGTTTGGTGAGCTTTCATACACTGTATCTGTAAATGAAATAATAGAAATTTCAGAGATATGTCACACATGTAAATATCAGTCATTACAGAAGTACACAGTACAATAACAATAATCAATGAGGTTTACATCAACAATCACCAAAGAAGCCATCTAAACATCATAAAAAAGATCTTCCAAGATTTGCAACAGCATTGATTTCCTAATCAAACTTAAGTTATAAAATAATTCAAATTATTCATAGTATTAGTTAAATCAATACCGCCATCAGATACTTTAAAATTGTTAAAAAACTTAACCTGGGAATAATTTCATTTTCGTTTCTTTTCTTTTTTAGGACATCATTAAGTTTGCAAGTAAATGACGGAAATCGATGCTTCAATAATATTTAAAATATATAAATATATAAATGAAAAAATTCTTAATTTTGTGCAAATAATACAATTTCACATTTGGGTCATTTTCAGTGACAACAAAATATTAGATAAGATAAGATTGATAATGATATCTTTTACAGCATCGACTGAAACTAGCAATAATAAATGACCTAGAAACAACCGATTTTCTTTGAAAAGTCGTAGTTTCGTACATTATTTCATAAATACGTGCCAAGAACATTAAAATATTCAGAAAATAGAATTCTGTGTGCTGAGAGGTAAAATGTATTTAACACGTATCAGTAAATATTTTCATGTAGACCTTGGAACAAGAGTTCATGCGTGTGATAATTCAGAATGTCAGTGGTACATTTGATTTGAAATCAGTCGTTAGGTTTAAAACTTACGGTTACATATACAGTAGAGGAGATAATAGTAAATAATATCTATGATTTCACGTTGGGATGATATACCATAAACCTTTGAGCCATCCTTTAAATTCAAGAGAAGGAACACATAGTAATTATAAGTAAATTGGGGCGAACGAAAGTAAATAACAAACACGTACATTAGCTTATGGAGGGCTGATAAATAGTCACTGCTTTAACAGTAAGTATTAGACAAAATATTGATCTATTCATTATGACATATATGTATAATTATTACTACTCTGGCTGAGAAGTGTATATATATAATTTTTTTGTAAATATATTGTTACTATTCTAAGTCTATAAAGTTCATGCATAAAATGTAATTTGAGACCGCATGCGTTCGGTAAATGTATTCAAATATAACACCATTTCCCTATAAAATGTACGTGCACGTGAATCCGTTATAAAGAAGAGAGTGAACTGTTTTTTTTGTTTGATCTAGTCATGCTTTAGAGAAAACAACTGCAACTCAATAAGGAAATGAGAAATGAATTTCAATTCATATCATTCGAAAATAACTGATTGGTTATCTGATATCAGTGAATGTATTTCATGAAATCATGCAGTGAAATAAAAATTGAAGAAGTTATGTAAGTTGAGAAAAAAAGAAACAATGATCAGTGGTGTTGCTGACACGATTGTCGACGAGCAAAAATAACTAGCCAATGAAATACCTTGAAGCCGCCAAAGTCTTATAGACTTTTGGTCAAGCATCTCATGTTCTGTGGACAAACAAACAGTTCCAAGATCACGTGATCACTGTATTAATCAAATTAGTTATATTCCAATATAAATGCAGTCTGTTCCTAAACATAAATCAAAAAAGATGTTGGAACTTCCTCTGATAATGTGTGATTTTTGGTCTTATTTATGTACCTTATCATTATGACATCCCCAACCTGCACCTAATTTAAAGCCATATTGTTTGTGATAACGACGCAACGATAAAATTCCAACATAAAATAAAATTTCAAAACTATCATTTACCAAACATTATCTTTCCCTTAAAATAAATCAAGTCAATACATTGATTATCACAATTTAAAAAAAAAATATATGAAATTTTAAAACATCTGAAAATAACCACGACAGACTTATCGAAACGAATGTTAGAACTAGTCGCGATATGTTATAGGAAGTTATTAAAGATAGAAATATAGCACTAAATCATATAACATGAACGACATAGAACTATATGTCGGTCACGTTGCCCTTCACCACTCATCCATACAACGGCATGCTCACTTTAAGAGAAAAAAACCTCTGTTCGTCAAAGCATACAAAACAAATACTCTAACCAAGTTAATAAGGTATGCTCACACGTGATATTTTTCTTTGAGTTCTTTTTAACAGAGTACTTTATTCTTAAATAAGGGCATTTGTAGAAGTGCTAGAAGGGAGTATATTGAGTCTAAAGAAATCCACCACACCTATGAATCGTGGTGATTTTTGTCTCCTCTTATAACTTATAAAATTATAGACAAGTTCGCGAGCTAAGTATTTCAAATATACTACATTTATGGTAGATAGAATGAAAAATAATTCTTTGCGATGGCATAGATCACACTAAATACCAAAATGACAAATATTCCGCCTGTAGAAGGAGAAGACAGAATGGTGTTGTGGTATGCGGTGGGTTACAGTTGTATAAACTATTCATCACGTGAGTATAATGCATTTTGAAGTATATATTTAGGGTGGAAAGTATGCTAACGAATATTCTGAATTACATGACAATCGTAGATTGGTATGTTAACAATACAGACGATGAACCCTTCAATTGATATTTTTTCCTGTGTATGGCATTTTTAAAATGTGATAATTCAGTAAATCATACAATAAGCAAAGAGTCTGGCATTGAAATTTGATGAATTACCATGATATGTGTGGTATTTTGTTTCATACGATTGCATGGTCACTTATCTTATTATTATTTTATGTATTATTTTCTGCTGACAACAAGAACGAATTTGGATTTTCAGGCGGGTAGTAATAGTAATCTTCTTAACATGTGATATCCAGGGCATTTATCAGAGTATAATATTGAGATGTCCGCGATATTGATTTACAGCATCTTTTGAGACGGAAGGTGTTTTGGAACGTCAAACATTTTCGCAATGCTTCTAGTGATGACCCGCAAGAATCACAATGGGAACTTGGAAACTTATTGCAGCCATAATATATGTCGCAGGGAGCCCAGAGTAACAGTTAGTATGCTTTGGCGAACAGAGTTATTGGATCGGGAAAAAAACGAAGTCCACACCGTATAGACCATTTCAAAGCATTACTTACAACCTCAATGTCTCGGATTATTCAACTCATTCTCAATCTCTGTCGATATTATTATGAAATACATGTTATAAAAAATTAGATTCGGCAAAAGAGCATTAAAGGCCAAAGTGTATCTGACATGGCTGACGTTTTACATCAGAACCACAACCACAAGAATTTAAATCCATACTGCGCGACAAACAATGCTGTATAATCATACTGCGTGACAAACAATGCTGCATAATCATTCATTTTCGAGGAGTTAAAATTTCCTGGTTTTCCAAAATAAAATAATAAACATTTCCGTTGTCGTTTGATTTCGTGGATAAATCTTGCTCACAAAATCCACTTGTACTAAAATCCATGTTTATCACTTTGTGGGTGAATTTTCGAGTATCCATGAATTAAATGGAAATAAATCACCCACGAAAATGAATGATTTTACATAAAGGTATTTCTGTATAGCCTTCCTTTAATTTCATAGTTTACATATAAAGGACACATTAAAAAGTACTTTGTGGGTTGTAATGACTGTTACAAATTCGTTTTCAATAAATAAAATGCATTGAAAACATTTTTTTACAGAATAAAGAGATATACAAATATCTTATATAGTAATGTATTATATACATTTTACTAGCAAAGGAGAAACATTTCTAGACAGTTTAGTGTGTAACCAAGCGATTAATTCGTTATTAAGCGTTAGGGTTGTGGGAAGGGAGGATGAGGTTGGTCATTACTACGGAAGGGGACATCACTCCCAGAAATAATCACACTCCTCCACGTGTATACCTACAGTAGAGCATGGCGGGGATTTCCACACCGTTACCTTCAAATAGATCACCACGATAATCAGTATCCATAACAAACGTTTAAACGACTTGATCATTAAATTAGTTTCATTCAGGTTGTTTTCTTGTACATGTCTTCTAGAGCAAACTGTGTTGCTGTATAAAGTCATAGGGAAACAAAATAATATGGAAATATAAAAAAAATAACATGGCTTAAAATAAAATTCAGTCACTTAACATTGAAATATTTCGATATATCTTGTCGATTTTTGGCTATCCAGTCCTATAATACACCGTATTTAAACAAATAAACTGAAAAATGAACTTATTTTAGACATAATTAAATGATTTTACATGTTAGGAAAAAAACTACTGAATCATCTACTACAGTCTATACAAAAAATACAAGGTGAATACAAATAAATCTTAGTCAAATACATACTTGTAGCGTATTTCATTTGGGTTATAATACTCATATGACTTCTCAGTGTATCGTAATTATTTGGCACCTTGCACAAATATCATGTACTTACATGAACTATTCAATGTAAATATCTGTTTACAATTTTGCACTTATTACAAGGAGTTGGTATTTTTTAATGTTTTTATCAACGACTCCTAACCGATTGGACCGAAAAAAATAACCCTAAAATCCCCAATCACTTAAGATTTATGTTTATAACTATAATAAAGATACGAACATTGAATCCAAAACACCAAAGATAAGGACGTCGATAGGTGCATTCTTGTGTCCTGATAATGTTCCACCAGAGGTTATGTAAACAAGTTTTGTCATAAGTACGTGCCTCCAACAACATAATTGTTGGTAAACAACTGCACAGTACCTGTCTGAAGGATTTTTCACGGTATTTCTTTAAAGTGATCAGTTTTCCGAATTTACCGAAGATGATTCATTCAGTCAGGGAGTGCAAGTAAAGAATAATCGATAACTTGTTTTCCAGATATCTATCTTATACCGAACAACCCTTGCTTTACTGGAAGATATCTTTCGTCACTATCGTCCAAAACAAAACGAATTTTGGCAGACATTTTGGGAAAGCCCGATGACGGTACTTTACTGAAAACTCCCACTTTAAGCGGAAGAGAGGCGTTGCATCTCAGTAAGAACAGTATTATTTATGACCTTTTCTTTTTGGTCAGCTGCTCGAGCTCCGACAGCCGCGGGTGTTTATTGTCTCTCTTAAATGCCTTATTGCGTAACATTAAAAAAAATATAGCAAAGGAAAATCTAGAAATTTTTATTTTCCAATATCGACGGTATAATTACCTGAACCAGTTATTTAAGTGTACTAGGGGAGTGCCAGGAAGTGAATAGAATTGCAATTAAGAACATGTGCATCATTTAGATAAATGAACGTAGGTAGGATCTTCGTAATAGCTTAGTTCTTATTTCTCATAAATTTTCATTTTACGACATGCATTTGCTGCAAGATAGAAAAAAAAAACAGCAAAACAGATCTAAAACTAGAAAGTTTTTCTGATAGATGGCAGATCATGAAATAACAGCAACAAATTCAAAATTTGTTTAAAGATAATAAAATTCAAATTTCGATTTCAAATAAGTGAAAATGCTTTAACATCAAATAAATTGAGTTATAAGTTATCTTTAGTTGTAACAGTGAAATACCATTACAAAGAAGACCATGCAAACATCAACACACATCACTCAAACATTACTTAATAATAATAATAAAGGGAAGCAATTACAAAACGGGGATACAACACAACATCAACATCACAGGTATTGGTAACTGAAGAGATGTTGTCATGGTGTACTCTTCTCGACAACCATTGATTTATTGTGCATACCGATAGTTAATTTTGTAACCCTGAACTACCAACACAGTGCTCTGCCGTAACTACTAACAAGCACATACATCAAATCACTTACATATTGTGTGTGACTCGGGTTCATTGTGATGTAGCGTCAACATATAATATACGTATTTAGTTCTAACATTCAACGCAATTTCGTCTGCCACTAACATTCGCCGCTAAGCTAGACTAATCATGTCTCAAGTAAACACTATACATGACAAAATGTCCAGTAAGTAATTTTTTGCACTTCTCTTTCCAATCATTACGCTGTTAATCAAGAAATCAGAAATCAGTTTCTTATTCTTATCTACTCATTGTCCAGGTGACATTCATGGCAAACACGATTGAGGTGAGGATTGTTTCGCTACACTACAAACAAGTATCATTTGTTTCTCAAACTGAACGGGGAGTAAGAATGAAATTCCATCTAGTGCTTATTAACATATTTTTGAGGTCAATAAAGACCAGTTTCGTTTCGTTCTGTTTTTAATTTCGATATATCATTTAAGTCTAACGGTTGCCTCTGGAACGCAGAAGAGAACGAATGGAGCTTTCTGTCTCACTTAAGGGGAAAATATCTAATAAATCAATCGTGGTGTTCAGTGCAATTATATTTGAGATAACAACTTCAAGAAAACGTTTTGATGAAGCTTTCGAGAGGCAACTAGACCTAATTATGGAAGCAGATTCTGGAAACACTTATAACTTACCATTGGGGATCTGAAAAGTGATTAAATAGCCCATGTTACATCATTTTGATAACAGAATATCATGGTTTAAGGGAATTCCAGTCTCTCCCCAGGGAAATGGGAGTGAAGAAG